CACGCACGCACGCACGCACGCACAGGTATGTGTGTGTGTGTGTGTATGTATATATATATATATATATGTTCATGAATATGCAGAAAGCTTGTGGCATCTGTGGTATCTCAGAAACGACACAAGCTTCTCTCAACAATTTGCACTTGTTTCTGTTTCTGTTCTCCCAAAATTTAATTGGTCTCATGCACCGTTAGGGCTACTACATGTTGCTGTGGGGCGTTCGTGGAGCAGCAAGGTCGGATCAAGGATGCATGGGAGCGAAACATGCATGCGGGCAACACCTGCACACAAGGAGCCGCAATGAGACTGAAGCAGGTAACGCAAAGCAAGAATTGATGCAGCTTCGTGTTTATGGCCATGGCGGCCCCGAGCGGCCAGGGCCGTTGGATGCAAAGTGCTGTTGGCTTTGGGGGCTATCCGGCGACTTGGTTTTCCCAAGGCAAGACGGGTTGGACGGATGCGTAGCTAGAGGCCGGCTAGGGCACACGCGGTGTTGGGCTTCGAGAACGTCAGGCAGGCGGTGCAAAGGAGGTGACCAGTGTATGTGTACCTCACCAGCCCTTGTCTGCAGTGGCAGAACTCAGCTCACTCACGGGATCAGCCAGCGTTTCAAAGTTGAGCTTCCCCCATGCTCGCCAACATCTGTAGCCTTACTAGTAAGCAGTGCCGTGGATGAACTCATGCATGGCTCTGCAACATGCATAGGTCTAGTCTTCACCCTGACTCACTTGAGCGCACCTTGATTTAGGAAGGCTGGATGCGGCAGAAATTGCACTCAGGAATTTCAGAACCGACGTCTCCAGTACGACAAAGAAGAATCCGAACAGTCGAAGTCCCGCACAGAATGGACTCTGGAGCAGTCACGGCAGAAGCTGCAGCAGGATCTCGCGCGATTGAGGTGGTTGCATGTTGCGATGATGTGCATAAACGTGCCGTAAGACTTGCCTTCTGAACAGCTTGGCACGGCTCCCTGCTGACAGGCTGTTCCATGAGGTGATGTTACAACTTCACAGAGGCGATTTCAAGCCACTTCCTGGCAGCGCTTCCGGGAAGATGACCTCTGCCTCCACGGCCTCGGGAGGTCGAGTGGAGGTTCCCCGGGTGGAGCTGCCAGAACTGCAGGCCCGACGGCTCAAGGCCCGTGGGGGGGCGAGGGGGTGGGGGCGTGGGCGAGGCATAGGCGCGGCTATTGCTTTGCAATCTTAAACAGGGGAATTCAAGCATGGCAAACTGCACTCGACGGGCCGCTTCAAAGCACCTGGGTGCTTGAGCATTGGGGACGTGTGTTGGGGAGACAGCACACACTGCACAGAAGTTGGTGCTAGCCAACTTCTCTCGTCACGCCTCCTGCAGTTCCGTTGCTGACCGTGTCTTGTGCCAGGCTGGTGGCTGGCAGGGAATGACGCAGCCGCTGGTTTTTGATCGGCCTCCTGATCTCCGCCCCTGTTACACAACTCGTGATGCCTTGCTGTCCGAGGAAGCTGTGGGTTGTAAAGTTCATGCGACGTTGCACGGATGTTGAAGGTTAAGGGGTCCACAAGTTTGATAAGGGGTGTGCATCTCGTGGTATGCCTTGCAAGGCCCGGGCCACCGCCGGATTTCCAACAGCAACAGTTCTCAGCGATCCTCTCGCAGCACAGTTTGGCCCGTCAATGCTTGGCGATGACCGACCGTTCCAAGAGGCGTCTGGCAAGGGGAACTGCTTCACACAGCTGACAGCCGGCAGCCTTTCACCAGGCACGGTTCCGTGGGACTGTTGGCAATCCATTCCTGAGTGGATGCGCTGTTCCATGGTGGTGGTGTCAACCGGTCCAGGTGGAAACGGGGTTGCCTTCCACAAACACGGAACTGCCTGGCTTGCACTTCAAGAGGGCCGGAAAAGGTGGTGGCTCTATCCCCCCAGCGGTCCCCCGACAACGGAGGCCTACGAAGCACTCGCTCTCTGCCCAGCTGCCGAGTTGTCGAAGGTTCTTCAAAGACTTCCACCGGAGCAGCGGCCGCTGGAGATCCTACAACATGCTGGCGAATGCGTGTTCGTACCGGCTCTGTGGTGGCATGCCACCTACGACGAAGTACCAACCCTTGGCATAGGCTCTCAGTTTAGCATGGCGGAGGTTGACATCCTCAAGTGTCAGCAGCAGTACCCGCAAAGTGCCTTTGCCTTGTACCACGCTGCTTGTGAGATCCACAAGACGGAGGAGAAGAAAGCAATGGAGCTCTTTGAAGCTGCCATTGAGCGTGAGCCTTTGAACTTCTATTTTGCTACAAACCAAGTTTTGTTTTACCTCAACATGGTGTTCCATCCGCGTCTTACAATTTCGATAATCAAGCGTCTTCTGGGACGAATCAAGCAGCTGGACCGACGCCGACAGATGATCGTGCAACGATTCTTTATTCCCACAGTATGTAACTTCGTTGAATGGCACGTGCCTCACGACCGCCTACTGAAATATTCTGTCGAGGCAACAGGCTTCGCATTGGAATCTTTAGTCTCGCTGCTGCAGCCATTGCTGCCGGGAGGTGAGGACTTTCGGCTGGGAAACGGATTGCCTTGGAATCTGGTCCATTTGTTGGAATATCCCTCGAAGTGCTTTCATTGTGGTGTCGTTGGATTCGGGAAACCTGGAGAAGCTGGTAGTGTTCGTGCCCACCGTTTCTTCTGCCTGCGCTGCACAGCTGCGCGATCTGCAGCTTGTTGCCGGCAGTGTGGTAAAGTTGACATAAAAGGACAACTCGGCAGGCCAGACTCTGCCTTCGCGCAGAGTTGGTACTGCTCATCTTGCTGGATGAGCTGCAAGAAAGGAAGTGACTTTGCACCGGCAAAGACTGGGCATCTCTTGTATGGTCAGGAGCAAAAGCTTCTGGCAGAGGTTTGGGACATCGCGGATTAGCGCAGGAATCGACCAAAAGAAAAAAGACGAGACTTCAGTGCAAAAGGCGACGACTTCGGAATGCTGCATGGTTGTGAGGAAGCTGTGCGGCGGAGTCACCCTGTGGCCAGGTCCAATTGAAAGGCTCTGCGGAGCAGATCCGCAAGGCTGCGTTGAGCGTCTTCGACAGTCGTGACTTTTCGACATTCGAAGCGCTGGGAATCCGATCGCGTCGTTAGGAGAAGGTTGCATAAGGTTGCCATTTTCCGTCGTAATGACGGAATGACGTAATGGAGATGCCAGATACATTGAGATCGAGCAACAGGGGCAACATGAATGTACACACATGCAACACGGGTTGTCGAAATTCCTGCACAGATTCGATCTAAATGCGAAGAATGGCATCAAGAGTTTTAAGTGCGTCGGCCGTTGCAATTTCCTGCCGGCACGTTCTCTGAGCCGTTTCAAGGACATGCAGGGAATGATGCTTGCACTTCAGGCCCAGCGCTTGCTCCAGCGCGTGCTCATGCACTGTGCTGCCCCGAGAAGAGAGGACGTCTCTTCACTGTGCTCGTGGCTCGCGTGAGAGCGGCCCGAGGCAACTGGGGGCGCAGCGAAGCAAAGGTGCGGCGACTGCTGAAACCGAAGCCTTGGGCCTAGACGGCCCGCACTCCTGCCGCGCCTCTGCTAGGGGCTTTAGCGCTTTGGAAATCTTGTCCACGAGGATTATCGAATCAGCCGTTCTGCGGCTGTCGCCGATGAATACCTTGCCTGCTGGACAGAAAACACTCAGCCAGACACAGACGGAACCTCAGAGAAGGGCTCATAGAGATATTTCTCGCAGCTGATACTGGGTTGCTTTGAGAGGCCTGTGATCTCGATCGGTGGGAAGCCCAGTGTCTGGCCATGCTGCAAGGAAGCGCACGTGGTAACACTGGCAAATTCATCGACGCCGTCGATGGCAAAGGGCAAGATGCGGGTTCCAGTGGAAAGAGAAATCGCTTGGCACTTTCGATGACTCCGAGAGTCGAATTCGTGAGATCTTCCGGTGCGTCGTTGTCTATGCCAGTCTCCAAACTGCCCACCGATCTGTGAAGCAGGTTGGCCTGCCCTGCAAAAAAACCTTCAAAACGCAAGAAGCAGACCTCCCCGGCTTGTACGGTAGAGAGCCCAAGGTGGCCAGCAATGCCTTTCAGTGTTGTGTAGGGTTTTAAGCCTTGGCCGAAGTGTCCCAACCAAGGCAAGGACAAAAAAGTCAACGACATCGTGATCCCTGCAGCCATTGTCTCGCGCCAGGCTGGTGTTCGAGGTATGCGCTTGTAGGGAGTGAGTTGCTTTGATTTGTCTTGGCTTCGACAGCACTGTGTCCTCGAGCTGGACATCGACCGAGGCGCCATATACGTGCGGGCCTTGACGTGCTGAGACAAATCACAGCAGTGCGGCATTTTTTGCTTGGAGGAGCTTTAAAGAGACCTTGTGTGTTCGGCCCAAAGAGCATGTGGCAGGAGCTTAGGGGATGTTTGCCTCGCGCCGCCAAAGACGATGTGAGGCCGAGCAGAGACCGCCTCGGCCTCGGCCCCAATACGGGGCAGCAGCCAAAGCGGCGAATCTGCCTGCGCTGAGCATTTGTCGCTTGGAATCACCGGAAGAGATCCTTAAGAAACTTCGGCAACATGCAGAAGATCCTGCGATGGCCGAGTTCACTTGCCCGATTTGCTGGGAGCCCTTCTGGCAGCCAGTTCGGACTGTATGTGGGCATGCCTTTTGTGAAGGGTGCTTGTTGAAGTCTGTGCTGGCACAGCTGGGTTACGATCAGCCAGATGTGTCCTGTCCAATGTGCCGGCATCCGCTGCATGTAGAAGATGTAGCTGCCGATGAGGCACTTCTGGCCCGAATCAGATTGGTGGTAGCCCAGAAGGCTCGGGAATCAGAATCTCAAAGCAAGGGGCACCCTGGCCGCTTGTACCGTGGATCGACTCGATCTCCCATTGCCGAACAGACTCCATCAAACCCCCGATCGCTTCATTGCACTGGGCAGCCTTGTACGCCTGCATTGCTCGAGTGGCCAGCAAGAGCTCAAAGCTCAGGTGCACACAGGACGCAATTCCCAGGAAGCTGGATGAGGGTGGCCCCCTCTGATTCGAGGCCTGCGACCTCTGGCTGTGTAGTCGCCTCCCATAAGAGCGCTTTCTGGTCGCAGAGCTTTTCCGCCCGTCCCTCAACATCGGGAGTCTCCGAAGTATGGGGGGATCGAAGTGAGGCACAGGAGGAAACGGTGGCCACTCCACTGTGGCCAACTTGGCCGGCGCCTGCGAGGTTGCAGGCGAACCTGGTGGGGGAGGTGAGTGAGGGCGACCGCGATCGCTCGGATCGAGACAAAGGTGGTGCAGTTTCCGATCGACTTCACTCCTTGGCGAAGCCGCAGACCCCTCGAACTGCACTTCACAAGCAACGACCCAGGTCCCAGCCGTCGAAGCAAGGCCGTCCCAGCCGCATGCTGCCACATCCCCCAGAGCTGCCGACTTACAGGGCTCCTCTAAGCTCCAGGGGCCCGAGACCGAAGAGGCCGCGCTGCGAACAAAACCACGGCAGTCGCAAAGAGACCTAAAGTATCCTAAATTAATCTAAAGATCTAAAGATCCCTGGATAGTCGGATAGTCCTTGTTTCACCACGTAGCGACTTGTGCTGATAAGCGGGCGACTGCAGGACTCAAAATCACTCCCAGACAGCGGTGCCCATGAATGACACAGCTTCGCTGCCGCAGGCAGGCCATGGGCGGAATCGCCAAGTTCCGCTAAATTCCGACAGAGAAGTTCGGATATCATGCGTCAAGTTTCTTTTGGTCGCTCTACTCCGGGGTTGGTTGATGTGAGGATGTGTGTGTTGGTGCCATGGATGTTGGCATGAACTCTCTTGCCCAAGGAACGGGTGCTGTGCTGGGAAGCTGGCGGACTGTGAGGGCACATCCATGCCTGAGCTTGGAGTGCAGTACGACACAAACAAACGACTCACGAAGCAGTCACAGTTTGTGGCTTAGCCCATGCTTGCAACATGCGAGCCTGTCGTGGAGCGTCTGGGCTTTGGATCGTAAAATAGCTTCAGTTGTCCGCACACAACAGCATCAACTTCGCGCAGCGCTCCGGGCACGGGTAGGAGCTGGAAAGATGAGCCAAGGCAGTTTTTGGTGGAAGACACGGGCATGAAGTCTTGCGTGCTTTCGTGCACATATTGTACAATTGGCTCCAACCAGCAGAGTGATCGACAAAATATGGCTCTGTGTCCCAAAGGGAGTGGGCCTGACGAGGGAGCAAGCTTTCGAAGAAAACAAGCCACCTTGCGCGCATTGCAGACTTGTGGTGTTCAGGTGCACCCCACGGAATAGCATGAAGAAGATGACGCTTGTTACCGATAGAGATACAAGAACAAGAGAGATACCTTGAAGCGAAAACTGTGCTGCAGATGGGAAAACAGGACAACCCGTGAGGAAGAAGGATTCCTTGTTTTGTCCCAATGCATCCGGCCTGGAGGCGGAACGTTTGAAGTTCCAAGGCTTGGCTTGGTCCTGGGTCCTGAGGTCATCGACTGCAGCACAAACGGCACATTCCTGAATGGCTTACGGCTGCCGCCGAGAACCACGGGGAAGGCACCGTTTAGTGACGGCTGGCTCTCGTTGGCCGAAACTAGATATTTTGTGGCTTGCAGTTGCAGACCTGCAGAAACAAAGCTTCATGCTGACTTCAGAACTTGTTTCCTGCAGAGGTGCTCGTCTCGCACGGAGACGAGCTCCTGCTACAAGACCCGGCCAATGACCAGGAGTCAGCCACTCCGAAAACTGGGGCCACATTGACATGCGCTGAGATGCCGACAGCATTGTCCAGTCTCTCGTGCCAAATGAGGTTCGGCTATGTTGTGAATATCCAAGAGCTGAATGTCCGAGAGCAGACGAAGCTGCAGGTTGGACTGTCGCAGTTTTCGGGCTCGGGTCTCAACAGTGGGTGCTTGCCAGGCTCCGCGGCGTCTTCTCTCGACCGAGGAGTCCGGCAGCCGAGTTGTAACAGCCTCCCAATCTCACTATAGGTTCCATCGTGTGAACATGCTGAATCTGAAGCTTCCCATCAGGTCTTCAACAATGGGCCGTGACTTCCATTGAGCCCTTTCCGCGTCTTAGTCTTACACACCACAGCAGCAACGTGTGCGATGCACAAAGAAGCCATATGTCAACACTCGTCCGAACACGCGAGCCTCGAAAACAAAGGATCAACATAATTCCTCAAAGATTATGGCTCCATGGCCGAGACCTCCGCATCAGCCGCGCATGACGATGTATAAGAATATGCTCCGCCTGATGCCGAATGCATGGTTAGTGAGGACAGCTGCAGCAGGAACTTGATTGACCGGGTTCATCCTCTTTGTTGACGGTCGGCTCAATTTGCTTTGAACCAGTGGTGCCTCAGCTGCTCACTTACCGGCACCTGACAAGTCAGACTCGGTCTTCACATGTCTAGGGGACATAATAGTCCAGATTGTCTTGGCTTTCGATTCTGACATTAGCTTCCGAAGCCATTGCCGGCAAGGCAGGGCTGCCAGCGTTTATCGTGGCATTTTTTCTGAATTACAAGTTTGCGTGTGCCAGTGCCCTTCCGTGACGATTTGCGTGTGGCAATAGATGGTGATGGATGGAGGAGTAACCAACATGCCTGTGTGTGCAGGCCCATGGCAGCGGATGCCGCAAGAGATGAGGTTCAATGAATCGAATAGCTGTTAGGCGTCAAGTTTCAGTGTGTTCGTGCTTGGTTTGCGGCCTTCAGGCCATGGCTTTCGAGACCTGTTTGGCCCAAGGCAGCCTGCACCTGAAGGGTTCCCACAAGATGCTCCTAGGGGTGGGGGTTCAGGCTCCAGCTCCTATCAAGAAACTGAGCTGGACCATTCCGAGCATCCTGGCTGCACGGCTGCACTCGCGACGGGCTGTGAAAACGTGCGGTGGCACCCAGGGCTCGGTCGAGATGGTGCTGCTTGAGACAGAACCTGCCTGCAACAGTTTGCTTAGTGATGATTGGTGCAGTCAAGGCTCGTTAGAGTTGCTTCAGCGTTGTAGAGCTGACGGACAAGTCCACGCATGGTGCATGCTGCAGCGCAGGTGGCTTGCACAAATGCCTGGCGCCTAATCGCCTACCTGGCCAGTGGCTTGTGGATGGTTTTGAGCTTTGGGTCTTGCGTGGTGGTCCCAGGTGGGCAACTTTTTCAGGTGTTTGCTGGGGACTTTCTGGCAGAGGCTACTCGATCGGAGATTGAAAAGCCACCGCAGCAGGCGTGTTTCGCTCTTTGCAGGTCGCCGCTACTTAGCCTGCCGGTGTCCGGGCGGGACGCAGACTTTTCAGGCGTGGTTCTAGGCCCCAAGGTCGCGGCAGAAGCTTCGCTCCAGCTGTTGAGGTGCCATTTCTGCTGCAGAAGTTTCGCCAGAGCAGATCTCGCCGCGGCCTGCGGCCAGCCCGGAGGAAACGAGTGGGGCATCTCCCTCGGAGCCGGGGCCGTCTGGAAAGACGCTGATAGCTGGATTCTATCTGATACCTGGCCACAAACACATACATGCGAGCGACTTTGCTCATTGAGTACTTTTCTGCGGATGTGAGTTCTTAAGGAGCGACTGGCAGCTTCCTCCTGGACTCGGCAACAGGAACTTAGATGAAGTTGTTGCCGAGGTAGAGAGATCTTGTGCCAGAGTTGGACCTATAACTCGGCAGCAAGCTCTGCGACTAGTTATAGGCATGGGCTACAATGCAGAAGCAGCCGTAGACAAGTGGCGAGACGTGGTTTCCTGGAGACGGGAGCATCACATGGATGCCGTTCGCGCACGCCTTCTTGGTGCAATGTGCAGCCAACACCCAGTGCGTTTTTCACACGAAGTTGACGTGTACAGCAAGCTATTTCGTGGTTGTCCATGTGCCCTTTTGACTGCAGATGGCCGCCCAGTTTCGGTTTGGCACGCTGGTGCCGCAGATATGGGACGGGTGGGTGATTTGCCACCAGATCATTGCCGGCGATGGAGTCAGGAAGTTTTTGAGTACGCCGACCTGTGGATTGCAAGAGAGACTGAGAGGACGAGATGCCTCAGTGGCTACCTCCAAGTCTATAACATGCAGGGCCTGAGCCTGCGACAGGTCACGTCTCCGGAAGTGAAGGATCGACTGAAGGCTGCTTTGTCTGCGGGCGGCTTCTATGTTGAGGCAGTAGCACACGTTTACGTGGTGAACGCTTCGCGGCTCTTCTCCATGGCGTGGAAACTTATCCGTGGTTTCCTCTCCCCGTGGACGGCTTCGAAGATCACAGTTTCCAGCACGATTCCAGACGAGCTAATTGCAACCTGGCAGGTTCAGGGAGGTTGTGTGTTGTCACCAGTCAAAGGCTTGTTGCATGGCTGACCTGCGAGGCAGACTTGGGAGGACCCGCTTCGCAGTCTTCGGAGAGCTTGTACAAGCTGCTTGCCGCGGCCGCTGATTCGACCAGTCCGGAACCGTGTCTGGCACGGGTGCAGCGACCACATGCTGAGAACTCCCTGAGGGCCTTGGAGGAAAGTGCCAGCACGGCCGCTTCTGGCACGGGATGCGACGGCTTCGAAGCGACAGCGGAAGCGCTGCTGCACTCGAGCGAGGAGGCTTTAGAACCAATTCCTGATATTCCAGGGGCCTTGCATGTCGCCGGGTTCTTCTTGCGACCTGACCAACTCCCACCTGGTTCGGAGGAGAGGGATTTGGAGGCTCTGGTTGAGGAAGTGCACAAAGCGTGCTCACGGGTGGCACCCGTCTCCAGGCAGCAAGCCTTGAGGCTCACGTTGGGGATGGGCTACAACCCACATGCCGCTCTCGCCAAATGGAAGGAGGTAGTGGAGTGGCGAAAAGCCAACAGCATGGATCATGTCCGCCAGGACCAGGCAGACAAAATGCGCGACACGGGCGATGTGAGTTTCCCGCATCAGGAGGAGGTGTTTGCGAAGCTGGTGTGTGTTAGCCCGTGTGCCCTCTATGCAGCAAATGGCACACCCGTGTCAATTTGGCACGCTGGAACATTGAACGTAAGCGCAGCGGCTTCTTTGCCATCTGAGAATGCCCCTCGCCTGCACTTTAGATGTACAGCGGATGGTGTCTGGATCGCCACGATGTCCCAGGTGTGACTTGGGCGACGAAGCAATTCAAGTTTTGCCAGTATGGCATTGTGGCACCTCCTTCCTTCAACTGGCACCAAGCACTGAGCAATTAGCTGTAGGCAGCCGTAGTAGTGAAGTCTGCGGCTGTGAAGACCACGCGTGGTGCGAATACTGGAAGCCAAGCTTGCCACATGCTGAATGCCCAAATTCAAGGATTTTTCATGAGGGCCAGGTCGGTGAAAGGTTTCACAACACAGCAAGGCTAGGCCTAGGCAGGAAGGAAAAGCAAGTACGATGTCTTGCAGTAGGCCGACTGCCGCTGAACTCGTCTCCTTTTTGCGATCCCAAGGTGGCGCGATGGAGCCGCGCAGTCTTTGAATACAAAGACCTTTGGATCAGCCGGCGCAGCGAGCAGCACAAAAGGCTTCTGGGATACATTCAGGTGTACGACATGCAAGGATTAACCTGGCGGCATTATTCGTCGCGGGAGATTGCAGACAAGCTGAAGACGGCCTTGCAGTCTGGGAGCTTTTACGTCGAAGCAGTCAGCCACATGTACGTCATCAATGCCTCCAGGCTCTTCTCCATGGTCTGGAAGGCCCCTTAACCACTTGCGGGATAAAGCTACATTGAGAATCCCTGCAATATTTCTGACTCGCGCAAGGTGGTTCGCAATCTAATCTCTCCGTGGACCGCCTCGAAAATTTCTGTCTCCAGTGGAGTTCCAGATGACCTCATTCACAGCCTAGGCTGGGCTCGCGGTCAAGCTCGATTGAAGTATGGCTTGAGAAAATTCGGTGCTAGAACCAGGCTCTTCTTTCTGGCCCGTGCTCAGGAGGGCCCACGTCGTCTGCTGCACGACGCTTCCAGCAGCTCATAGCCAGGCATGGGTTGCAGTGCAGGCCTCTTGAAGCACATCGCTTGGATGGCCGCAGGAGCCCGGAAGAAGCGGCGAAAATGACGGCGGTTCTGCGGCCTCCTGGGCAGGTTCCGCTTCTAGCTTTGAGGCAACTACAGTAGCTGGGTTCATCTCGCTACCCTGCAGGTTTCGGAGCCCATCTCACCCACTTCACCTTTGGCCAACTGTTCTGTCGCCACTGAACTGGGCTCGCTTCAGTCTGAGCTCCTTGGTCGATAAGCTAGACCCAGCCAAATCTAGAATCTAGAAGGTCCTCCTCAGCGTGAACTGCTGAACCGAGGTGCACCGGTGCGCCCAAGCCCGCGCTCGACATCGAGACAGACATGAGCTCTGCAAATCTGGAAGAGCCAGTGTCTCCCGGAACACGCTGTGTTGCTGGATATTTCTTAGAGCGGAGCCAGCTACCACCTGGCTGGGAGGGCCACGACTTGAACGCCCTTGTTGCAGAAATCCACGGCACATGCTCTCACATCTCGCCGTTGACAATGCAACAAGCCCTTCGTTTAATGCTAGGCATGGGCTACGATCGAGTCGCTGCAGTTTCCAAGTGGCGTGAGATCACCACCTGGCGCGAGACTCACGGCTTAGAGAACATCCGGGCTCAGCAGGTGGTCGTGCTCGAGTCGACAAAGCCTATCTGCTTTCCTTCCGAGGAGGAGGTTTACACCAAGTTTTTGAAGGTCTGCCCTTGTGCACTCTTGGCTTCGAACGGGGCTCCAGTGTCCGTGTGGCATGCCAAGACTCTGAACTCCAGTGCTGTAGCTGAGCTATCTGCCGCAGACATGTCCTCTTGGAGCCACGCAGTCTTCGAATACAAGGACGTCTGGATTTCGCGGGAAAGTGAAGAAAGAAGACGGCTCATCGGATACATTCAAGTCTACGACATGAACGGTGTTGGCCTGCGGCACTTGACCTCGAGAGACATCGGCGAGAAGTTGAAAGGCTGCTTGCAGCCAGGTGCTTTCTACATGGAGGCAGTTTCGCACATGTATATCGTGAATGCTTCAGCTTTGTTCTCCATGGCTTGGAAGGCGGGGTTGCAGTTTACATGATTGTAGTATGATGTAGTCTTGCACACTTTTCATTCATTCGTGACGAGGTGATTCGGAACCTGATTTCTCCATGGACAGCATCAAAGATCACCGTGTCGAACTCCATCCCCGAAGAGACTTGCGCTGAATTGCCTGTCAGTTTCCGGTACTGCTCTGAGCCGAGGAGCTGCTCCGTGACCTGGGTGGGCCCGATTCGGTGGCGTCTGGAGTCCTGAAAGAGATCCTGGCTGCAGAAGGAGATGACCTTGGCTTCGCTCTCAGTTTCTTTGAGAACTTGAGGCGTCTTGCCGCGACACGGCCTCGCCGAGGTCGATTTCCGGTCATGCGCCCATGCACGGCCATCTGATTCTGCCGTCCTGGCCTGAGGTGCTTGCAAGCAGCTTTCTTGCACGTGAATCATTCCTTCGTTCTCGGCTCAAGACCAGGCCAAAACTTCCTTAAGGATGTCCAACTCGTCCTGTGGGGCGTGACACGCGGCCTTCCCACAAGCACGTGGATCGAGAGCTGCCCTGCTGCTCCAGAAGGCGAATGGGAGACATCATCCAACCCGAGGCATTCACAATTGTCTTGGATTCGCTCCACTGTTTGAGCTCGTGGTTGGGACATTCCCCACGGCAGTTACTTGCGCTTCGTTGGAGTCCGTCTGGAGGAGGTGTGCTTTTGTCGTCATGCACTATGGCACTCGCCTAGCTGCCGAGCTGAGACAGCAGCTAGACTAGACGAGTGTCAGGAGTACAGGGCGACACCACCACGTAGGCTTAAAGCAAGAGGTTGCCGATCTTTCGAAGGACGCACGGCCATGCCCCGAAGGAACTCCTCGCTGCTTTCACAGAAATTAAATCATCGCCATTTGGTGCACTATGAATTTATGGTGTTGGCTCCTGAGTCGGGCTTGTGTCTGTGAGTTGCGACTCGCTCTGGCTCGAGGCTCGCTGTTTTGAACTTGAGGTGGACGTGGCTAGTTTCAGAAGTCAACCGTTAGGGAACTGCGGGGTCTGTAGTGTGGACATTTGCCGGAGCTTGACTGCTCTGTACTTGTTGTGGTTGGTTTTTTAGATGATGTTCGATATCTTTGGACCAGGTCTTCGTTTGAAACAGCTGAGCAGCGACTCAGCACACCCTCGCTCGTGGTAATCATGTGACTGGGGTCATGGTCGTAGTGAGCCGGATTCGGCCTGTTGTGCCAGCTTCCACAGTCCCAGTCACTGCAGCGGAGATAGAACTATGCGGAGCCTTGCCTGCCTTGTGCGAGTGTGAGAGTCGAAATGAAATCATCGTCATGTGGAGGATTTGCTTTCGCAGTGCAAAACATGCGGCAACATATTGACAGTCAGAATGGAAAAAGACACGCGACATGTGCTTGCTTGTTTTGGAATGCGCCGTGTCATGTCAGCATTCGGCAGTGGCAGACATGCGCAGCTAAGGCGGGCATGAAGGTGTATTGACCACGTTGCACTAAGCAAAAACCGCTTGCTGTCGAAGCAGCTGCGAGCCAGTGCACCAGGTTTCACTGTGCTCACTTTGTTTAGATCTCGTCCGGCCAATGTGCGATGTGCCGCCCCCCGGACGGTTGCAGAATGCCTGTTCAGTGGCCGCCGACGCGTGCAGTCTGCAACTGAAGTTGCTAGGCATGAATTTGCCGCATGTTCGCCAGCCTGCTCTTGAGATTGCATGCGCCGATTTGGCACAGAACTGTTGCCAGAGCAAGCCACATTACGATGCATTGCCGGTGCAGTCGTGATGCGCCATGCATGCACGCACCTGTTTTTGCTGCTGCGCAGCTGGAGGCAGACTAATGCAGGCAACAGTCCTACACTAGTCGCACCTGTTGCCACAGCCCCTCGGCACACTTGCAATGTGATCTTTGACTCGTAAGGTGCAACTTGTTCAACCCCTGGATATCAAGCATGTTCATTGGCTGTTGATGCAGCCTGAGGTGTGACCACGCGGCTGCTTAAGCTACTTCTTGCTTGACTCCACGTCACCTCATTTTGCTTTGGGCATAATGTCCCTTATACAAATTCAGGTAGCAGTAGATACTCAGTAGAAGCCTGAGAAGGCAGCTTGTTGAGGCCATGCCCTGCGCAAGCGGCGAGCCTGCTGCGGGCATGCAGTCGCATGTGTTCTACATTGCAACTCGCAACTGCAAAGCTTGCAAAGTCTGATATCTGCGACGGAGCCGTGCCACCCCCCCTGCAAACATGCTGTCGCCAAACCTGATGGTCTTGTGTCGGCAGTGCAAAGACTCGGTGCAGCTTGGCCATGGCAAAATGCAGGGATATCCCGTGAAGCCAAAAGCAGACTGCTACTGCCAAGCAGCATTTCGATTGTCACCTGCTCTCTGATGCAGCTTCATCAGCCCCCGTTGGACACATTTCTGCCACGGAAGCGTGCTAAATGTGTCTTGATTTGGCTTGTGCCACGTCATGGCGACAACGCCTGCTGGCTCGATTCAGGTCGAAGCAGCCGCCATGTAGTCAGTACGGGTAGTAAGTACGCCTCGAAGCCGTCACCCATTTCCACTGAGCCACCATGGCAAAGCGCCACAAGAGCTATTGCACCAACATAGGAGCACTTGAAATCATGAGCTCCAACCGGCTGATTTCCGCGTTTTTCCTCCTGTTGGCGGAGGCACGACTGCTGCCGTGAATTCAGCTGAGTGGGTCGGACAAATCTGTCACACCCTCCATGTCTCGCTCTCTTTCTCTCTGTCTCTATCTATCTATCTATCTATCTATCTATCCATCTCTCTCTCTCTCTCTCTCTCTCTCTCTCTCTCTCTCTGTGGCCAGGAGGCTGCGGCAGTTCCGTACTGCACTGCCATACAAAGCCGCTTACATGCAAGACGGCCCAGATGCAAGTCCTTACTTCGTGCATTTTGGGAGGTCGGTAGAGTTTCAGCAGTTGCACCTGTGCCTGCAGCTTGTTTTGTTTGTGAGGGTCTTGTTAGTTGCACAGAGCGCCGCACCAAAACAAACACGTACGAAGACATTCCGGGAAAGGAGACGCATTTATTGTCTGCATGTAGCAGCAGCTGTTGCCGTCACTATCATGCAACATTCAGGTTCAGACGAGGAGGCCTTCCGTTGTGCCGCTCTCGTGACTGATGAGGTAAACACTAAGTTTTTGATGCGATCTTCAAACAAGAGCTCCGGGGTCGAGCACTTTGCACTGTACACGAATCTCAGCGCTGTGACCTTGCAACCTCCCTGGAACGGCAGCGAGTGCAGTGGTCATGCGGACGTTGAAGCATCGATACAGTACATGTCAGATGTCGTTCAGCTCAACCATGGACTCGTTGCAGCAGGAAGTGGCAACTGTGGGTCCACATTCATGTCCACAAGGCTTTATTGTTTCCGAGGGGAAGGTGCGTCGAGCTCGCGATTGTACATGTCAGTACAGTCGGATGAAAACGCACAGGTGGTGGCGTACATTCGGGCAAGGCCAGGCAACAATGAGAACCACAAGAGCATTTCTATGGATGTAGGTGGCAGTGGCGGTCGCAGTGCTTTTCACCTCTTTACGATTCCCGAAGATGACGAGCTCGATTTGTGGCGTTTGAGTATGACTGTGCGTGAAGAGTTCCGAAAACCGACCAGCGTCTACCACGCCTACATCATGCACGAGACCTCGCCGTGCGTTTCCAAAGTGGTGAATTCTGGTGGCTGCTTTGACGCTGTCAGAGTCTGGTCTTGCACTCAATCGGTTCCTGTGTCTTTCAGGCGGCCAACTGCTTTCGGGAATTTGCGCATAGCCATGAGCCTCAGCTTTTCCGAGTCCGCACGGATGACTATTAGTAGAGGCAGGAGTCTGGAAGTTCCGCCCTTTCCTTTCCAGGGTTTAGTTTTGGTTGGATCCGGGAGTCTCATGATCACTGGGTCGCTGGGTTTGGAACATGAAGGCTCCCTCCCGCGACTTCGGTCTGGCCGATGGGTCCTCTTCGTGGTCTGCAACATCCGTTCCCCGCATCAAGGCTGTCCCGAGGCCACCATTGATGTCAAGTTTTCCGCAGGGTACAACCAGAGGAAGAAGCTCTGGATAGGTGCTCTAATCATGATATTCGGTCCTGCTGCGATCCTCTTCGCGGTCAATGCGATGTACTGGCTGGCATATCTGTTTCTGTATAAAATGAGCTCGCCTTCACTTCAGGCACAGGACCATTTGTGGCCTGTCTTCATGTCACTGCCAGGCCGGATGCACCTTGACATGCTCCGCGAGAAAGTGCGCCTAATTTCACGGCCGATTCCCTTCTTTCCGGCACTGTTGGCCCTCATGATCGGTGCATTTTTGGCCACTGCGGCTCAGTTTGTCATAACGCATTATGGCTTGATGGTGCGCACTGGGAGCAGGGATATTTGCTTCTACAACGAGAAGTGCTTCTCGCCAGGTGTTATATGGGACATCCCATGGAACAACTTCTTGTCCAACCTTGCTTATTTCGTGGCTGGAGCTCACACCATGCTTCAGGCGTTCTTTGCTGAGGTCCGTTGCCGAAGCTTTCTACGCCGCACCATGTCGGCATTGTACAAGCATCTAAACCTCCAGACCGAGACCGGTCTTACGAAGGCACAGTGGGTTCGACTTTTTGACAGCGTAGACCTGAACGGGAGTGGCTCCGTCTCCAGGCAGGAGTGGTACACACAATACAGCCATGCGCTTGCCTTCGATTTCATCGACAGAAACCAAGATGGCCTTCTGTCTCGTGAAGAGTGGTCCAATGCCTTTGACCGAATGGACATAGATGGTGATGGCTATTTGACAGAAATTAAGTTTCAGATATCAGCATCTCAGATAGATCTTCGAGCCTTCTATGCAGTGGGCACTACTTTTGTTGCCGAGGGCATTGGAAGCATGTGCTACCATCTCTGCCCATCTGTTGAAACATTTCAGTTCGACACTTGTTTCATGATCCCGATTGCGAACCTGCTGACCATCGCGCTTGCGGATTGGAGCGGGACGGACCTCGATACGATCTCGGCCTTGAGGTACTTTGTCTACATCCTGATGCATGGCCTCTTCAGTCAAAGGTTCGCTTTGCGTGCGTAGGATGCTGAGGGAGATCCCGGGCGACGAGGCAACGCTGCAAAAGACTGTTTAACTTAACACGGTTGCTGTTTGGAAGTGGAGGAGCCTCCCTGGCCAAGGACACCAGTCTGGCTGATTAACTTTATCGGCACGTGGTACGACATAGATGTCTTTGACTGCGAATGGCTCTATTGGTTCTATTCCTTTCTGGTTGTGGTCCCTGAGCTGCAAAGCAGTGTCCATGATCTCCTCTAGCATCCCCTGGTTGTAGCGGGGTGGATTCTTCGACCCCCCCGGCCACTCTTAGCTGTATAAAAATTGCAGTGTACCAGTGTACCGCAGGTCTGGACCTTGGCAGCTGTGACTGCCTTGAACCGCGTTTTTGCAACGCCGAAGATCGGAAAACACGGCACTTGGCTGATGCGAGCGCTGCAAGCGCTCGTCATTCTCATGGTCTTGAGTCTCGGCTTGAGAGGGGCTCTCTGAACTTGGGGCAGGCCATGTCACCCGCAGCCAAGGGTGGCATATGTAGAGCCGAGCGCCCCTTGGCGACATAAGAGCTTTTTTCTTGGACGTCGGCGGCTTCATCCAAACATCGAGCTGCGCGGAAAGCCTCGCGGCCATAGTGTGCAAGAGATGCTCATGAACTTGTTGTGGCGCATAGTGCGCTGGGGAAGTCGGCACAGTCCACAGCCGGAATTGTCTTCGGCTAGTGCTGAGGAGGGTACTCGTAGCAAAGTACTAGCATAGTCACTAGCAAGCTGGCTCGGCCTTTCACCAGGTGCGGCGAGGCCTCGGAGGGACCGCCAATACCTTCCTGCTACTGTCCATTATAGTCATGATCGTGGTCGTCAGCCGGCAGATCTATTTGCAGGACCGTGCTGCCACCTTCCCCGCAGCGAAACCCATGCACAATTGGTCCAGTGCCAGGACTTGCAGTTCGTGACCTGCGAGGACGGGTGATGCAAAATGGCCCCCTGTCATGGCCCATGTTTCAGCCTGTTTTGGAGTAGGCACAGGGTGCAGATCAAGCGTGCCAGGCGAGAGACTTGCAGATGGGTAGTAGAGAGGTGAGTTGGCCGCGCAGGTTTCGGAGATTGGAGGACGCATAATCAAGTACAGCTACATGGCAGTCATGGTCTTCGTGGCAGTCACGTCAATCCATTTCTTCAATGAGAAGGTGCCGGCCAAGGTCTTGTTCTTGTAATCTGCTCATTCGAAAGACCCTCCACCACTGTCTCGTTGCAGGTAGCCATTGTGGCCCCGGATGCGACACCAGCACAGAGCCATGACATCAACCAAAACTGTGTTTTCAACATTTTCGACTTGCGACTTGGATGCATCATGCGCAAGAATCCATCGGAAGTAGCGCCTTGCATCGCCGGCTACGATCTGCTT